AAGCACACACATAGTACACAGGCATGCATGCAGGCAAAACACACATAAAATTAAGTTAAACTAGACTTCAAACAACTCCTAACCACTCTAAGAAACAATTGAGCACGGTGTCTCATACCTGCAATCCCAGCCCTTGGGAGGTGGAGGCAGGATGGTCGGTCATAAGTTCAAGGTCGTCTTTGGCTGTGTAGAGAATTGGAAGCCATGCTGGGTTCTGTGAAGAACACTCCCACCCATGTATACATTCAACACATACAGACGACCCTCACCTCTCCACAGCCTCAGAAGAACTAGAAGTGGAGCGGAGATGTTCGTTCTGATGGGAGTATGGAAGGGTGTGGGTGTCAGTGTGTTTTTGTTTTCTTTTTAATGAGCTATCTACTTAGCCCCTGCTTTGGATGTGTCTGACCTTTCGTAAGTGACACGTAGAGACATTTGGAACCTTCAGGACTTGGTGATCGAGTATGTTAGTATGTAATGTACCACTCTAATTTTCATTTATTGTATTTTTTGCTTAATTGCAATTTTTTCTTTCACAGGATACAAATCACTCACTTTATCTGAGTGAGTTGGGCCTTCTGTCCACGGATTCTGAACTGCAAGAAAATTCCAGTACCGTAAGTATTCCTGAGGAGGGTGCTGGAGGAAGGCTAGTCTGAGCTCCCCGAGATGTAATTGTGTGCAGTCGCTGACGTGGAGGATTCTTTTTCTACTCGGGGAATGCCTTTGGCCTAGATCATTCATTTGTGCATATGTGCATGTTGTGCTGAGGACTTTAATGTAGGGCCTAATGCATGCTGCATGCTAGGCAAATATTCTACCCCTGAACTAATTCCTCAGCCCAGGTAGAAAATTTTCATAGCTAACATTGGCTCATGGGCATAAATGAATATGTTTATGCAAATAGGAAGTCTCAGTGGAGAAATAGAAACTATTTAAAAAAAAAACCGGGTGTGGTGGGACATGCCTCTAATCCTAGTACTTGGGAAGCTGAGGCAGGAAGATTGCCAGTAATTGGTCGTCAGCCTGTATTACATAAGTGAGACCTTTTCCCAATAAATAGAGTAAACCAAGCTAAGCTTGATATATGGACATTAAAGTGAGCACCTGTCATCCTAACACTTGTAAGGTACAGGCAGCAGGGTTGTAGCTTCAAGGAGCTGTGCTACAAAAAAACAGAACATTTAGAACTGAAAATTAAGTCAGATAATTCAAAACCAGGGTCTGTCCCGATCGTTCAGTGGAGGAAGCACTGGCCAGCCAGGCCTGGTGAGCTAAGTCCAGTCACCGGCGTCTCCAGAGGCCTAGGGACTGGCTTCACTGAGCTGTTCTCTGCTCTCCATGCTGTGTCATGCTCCTGTGCACTTGAATGAATGCAAAGAAACCACGTGAAGAGATTCTTAGATTAGACTTCACAATGAAGAAAGAGGAGAGAATCACTTGTTATGTTGGAGATAGCTTCATCTCGAGAACAAAGGTGGAAACACTGAGTATTCCATATGATTGTTGTTCATATCACAGAACAAATTTTCTAAAGTTTATACTCAAGATGTCTAGGATGCCTTCTGAGTTACCCAGCCGAAGACTTTCTGGGTACAGTGTTCCTTTACCACTTATTTATCAGTCCATGTATGTGCACAAATGTTGCACTTGCGTGTATGAATACATGCCACAGCACACATACAGAGGTCAGACGACAACTTTTAGGTCCTGGGGATTGAACCAAGGACATCAGACTTGCAAGGGCAGTCTTTACACACAGAGCCATTTGGAAGCCCAACATTTAACTGTAGTACATAGCTGAGAAGTCCATGCTGGCCAGGACTGTGACATAAGATTTGGAAGCTTTGGAGAGCTCCGAGGCCACCAGGAAAGACACCTGATAAATGAGAACCGTATGAAGTTTGTGAAAAGTGAAGCCATTTCCATCATGGTTACTTGTGTCGAGAGAGAAAGCCTATCCCTTCGTCTGTCTATGCTCCTGGCACCCAGTGGTTAGCCCAGATTTGGAAAGAGTTTTTTTTAGTCTTTCAAACCAAGGTCACAGTTCCTTAAAGCAGTCAGGCTAATGTGATGTTTCTTAACAATTGGGACTTGGTAGAATCAAGTGGTAAATTTTTATGAGATTGTCATCTTAAGGGTGTCTGTGTATAGGTGTCCTAGAAATGAACTTGGTTTGCTCCAACCTTTTGAGAAGGGGCTGGATCTTCCAGGGAATGGCCTCTGGGCCTTTGGTTGCTGAGCTCTGAGGTCATCTGGACCTCGACAGATCCTGCTGTTTTTCCTGCTCTGACCCAGAGCTCAGCCCGTCCTGACCTCTACTTTGGAGAGTCGAATTCTGCAACCAGGGGTTTTTGCTCTGAAGCCGGGTGGGGGCTTCAGCATCCACCCTGTAGCTGAGCAGTGGTGGTGCACACCTTTATCCCAGCCCTTGGGAGGCAGAGGCAAATGGATTTCTGTGAGTTCAAGGCCAGCCTAGTCTACAAAGTGAGTTCCAGGACAGACAGAGTTATTATATAGAGAAATCCTGTCTCAAAAAGCCAAAAAAAAGAAAAGAGAAATTAGTTGTAGCCCTGTGTGGTGTTGCACACCTGTAATCCCAGCCCTTGGGAGGCAGAGGCAGAACTGCTACAAGTCTGAGGTTGATTTACACAGTGGCCAGCTAGGGCTGCACAAGGAAGGCCTCTCTAGAGTCACATTGCTTCCTTTTCTCTTTTGTATGTGTGGTGTGTGCACATGTGTGTACAGATGAGGTCAAAGGAGGATGGCAGGCACCTTGTTCTGGAACTAGGGCTGGAGGGATTCTCTTGTCTTGGCCTCCTACAGCTCTGGGATTATATGTGCTCAAGCAACAATGCTAGCCTGCCTCCTTCCTTTCTTCCT